ACCTCTGCCTTGCACCAGACACCCTCTCCTTGGAACGTAAGGCTTCTTCGAAGTGCTCGAATGCGATTGGCTGCTTGACCATCCGAAATGACACTTTTTGTCCGTTTGGTCAATGTTTGTGTCTCGTGCCATAGTCGACGAAAATACAGACAAACAGGTTATATATGAGTTTTGAGACCAAGAATGGTGTAACTCGACCTGTCCGATTCAAAGACTCCGAGGGCGGACATGAAATTAAACGGAAATTAGCTAGGAAGGAATATAAAATGGACTGGTTGCCACCACCTCCACCTCCACCACCTTTACCTGTTCCTCAAGTAAATAAGCCTTTCCCGTTCCAAGAATTCCCACATTTTAATTCAAATTCGAATAAAAATTTTTTATTTCATGCAATGTTTTATTTCTGTGTCGTCTTCAAGTATGCCCCAGTACTTACGCTTGGAGAGGACATGAACTTCGGTGAAAATTTTGTCCAATTTGAATTGACCCATCTTTTCACCGACCATTCCCATTTCAATGAGTTTGTTGTATCCTTCTTCGTTCAGTCATGAGTGCGTCAATGTTCTCATAGTAAACCTTCACTTTGGATTTGACTTCGGAGAAGAATTTGTTGTAGTTGTCAAGGACTGCTTTGCGAACTGAGGGTAAGACCAATGTTCGACAATAGGTTTTAATGTGGTTACTAAGCCACTTTGACCTGAGTGAATTCGTACTTCAAAACAAAAGGAGAAAACCTTTCAACAAAGTTGTCGACCTTCTCATAATGTTTACTCTTCATCTCTTGAGGTTTCTTAATGGAATATCCCCATGTCGAATTCATAAGCAATTTGAGTGTCATTGCAAGTTTGGGGTTTGAAGCTTTCCTAATATCATACAGTTGTTGTATGACTTTTCCAACTGTATAGTTCCTTCCCGGGAACTCACCATCTTCGTTTGGAATTCCAGTCGGAATATATTGGACAAACCTCATGTATGCAGCGTTAAGGTCGACATAGTATATCTTTTCATCTGAGTCGAACTTGTCGCAACCAATTGGTCCAGTTTGTGGAAATTCAAGTGAGTCTCTTATCTTCTGAGAAACTTCTCCTGTTATCTCATAAACATCGTCGAAGCAACCTGTTTCATATAAAACCTTCTGACCTAACTCAGATGCTCTCCAATACAATTTGACGTCAATTGGATGTCTCAATGGAAGTTTGTTTATAGCATCTTGAAGTTCTTGCAACCTCATTGGAAGTTCTTCTGGTTCAGGTTGGTATCCGAACAATCCAACTCCTTGTGGAATTGTGTACTTCTTTTGTACTAGAACTTTGTCTGGAACAACTTTTGGTCTTGCTAACAGTGAAAAGTTTGTTTCGTCTTTTGGTACAAAAGTTTCTGTCAGCTTGTCATCTGGAATTGGTTCCAACAAACCTTTCTCGAAAAGAATGTTTACAGCTCTGACAATGTTGCACTTGCCTTTTCCGAACAATGGGTTTGTAAGACTTTCGTTCAACATGAAGTGGTTGTGGACAATTGCAATCTTCAACCATGGTAAATTGAACTCAACAACATAGTCGTCATGTGAAGAACCTTTAGCTGTAGGTATGTTGACTCGGATATTGACATTTGCCAACGGTGCAATTTTTGCCAATTGACCTCTGAGAATGTACCTTGTCTTCACACATGACTCAAGATACTTCATCTTCTCATCTGTAACAAGACCAGAGTTCCTGAGACATGTAAGAATGCAAGGTTCATTGACAATTGTTTCAATTGAATTGTAAATTCCATACCTTGTCAAGTCAATGTCAGACTTATTTATGAACGGGAAGTATCCAGCATGTTGTCTGACTGCTTGAGGGTTAGGTTGGTACCATTCGAACTTGACACTTGCAATTCCTTCAATTGCATTCAAAATGTCTGAGTCGGAGTCAACCATTTGTTCTCTCTTTGTAGTCTTGAAAGCGTCAAGAAGTTTTGCAGCTGTTTGTTCATTGCCATTTGCATAGTAAATGTGACCATCCAAATCCGTTATGGTCAATCTGAGATTGTGTCCTTTCTTATTTCCGTCTTGTATGGCAGCAAGTACTCCCATGAAGCCTTCTTTGTTCTTTCCTTCGTCAAAGTTTACTGTAAAGGTTCGACCAGATGTAATTTGACTTCTAACTTCACGATACTTTTCATATGCATATCTTGTTCTTTCCATGGGAGCATGTGTGTCTTCACCTTTTCCTTTTTTCCTTCTCAAAGGATGCAATTGTTCGTCATGTTTCCAGTAGAATCTGGCAAAGCCGTCGTGTCCTTCAACTTGAGGTTCACTAACATCGAAAGGCATGTCATAAGACGTTCTTCTTCTAACCTCTCTAGTCTGTTTGGATAATTTGCACGTGCTGTTTCCAAATCCATTTCGTAGCGAAGACCAGCCAGTTTGTCATAGACTTTTATGGGTCTTCCCTTCCTATATTTAAAATTCTTCGAAACTCTCCAACCATATCTTTGTAACTCTGCTTTTATTCTAGCAGTTTCTATCCATTCTATATGGGGGCATTTTTATAAAAATAAAAAAATATTTTTTTTCTTTACTTTACATAACCGCCTGCTGCCATAAGTCTTTGACGCCAACCCATACCAGCTAATGAAGGTTGACTTGGTTTAGTTTGGAAACTAAACTTTGGTTTTGGTTTATCTTCAGTTTTTGGTTTTTCTTCTTCTATCGGTTTTTCGTCACTTTTCGGTTCCTCTGACTTTACTCACCTGCAGGAACAGTTGTGTCGTCAACATCTTCATAAATATCATATGCCATTTGTTTTTGTTTTCCTTTCAACTTTTTGTGTTTGTTGTAAAGTTTAGAATATTTCGACTCTAAGTCAATGAGATGTTCTATAATGAACTGTTGGTCAGTGAAGTAAACTTTTCCATCTGTTGTCTCGAAAGCTCCTTCAGACTTCAATATTTTATTTGTGAGAGTCTGTTTCTTTTTTGAGATACTAGCCGTTCCATTTCTATGAAAAGTGACTTTATAGTTAGGGTTTGTATTTCCAGACCTGGCACTTTCTATTATTGAATTTTTCTCTTCATCTGTAAGTTCTTTGACAGGTTTTGACAATGGTTCTGAACTTTTTGTTTGTGGTGTCAAATCTACCGTTTCAACTTCTTCGGTCATTTCATCTCAGTAAAAAATTTTAGTTTGGTTTGTTTTCAACTGGTTGTTTAGGTTTTTTAAGTCGGTCTAAAACTTCCTGAGGTATAGGAAGAACTTGACAAACACGTTGTGTAACTGCTGGAAGTCGACAAATCCATCTTGAACCCATTTGTCTCAATGCTGTATTGTTCATTTCATCTCAGTAAAAAACTTTACATTCCCCACGTTTGAGGCGGTTGAGGTTGGTTATTGTTTACCCACTGTTGTGCATGGTTATATCCTCTGTTAAAGAATCTTTCACCTTGGTCCATATAGTGTCCTGCTTGGTTATAGTAGTCATTTGCTTTGTTATAATAGTTTCCTGCTTGTCTTCCTACATTGTCCATCCATCCTTGAACTTTTCCTCTTGTTTCAGGATTTGGAATAAGATTTGTTGCATCTCGTGCTACATCCCAACCTTTCTGTACAGTTTGTATAATAGGTTGTGCTTTCTCTTTAAGTATACCTAATGTACTCAAAATCTTCCTTCCAACTCCAAATACACCTCTGGCTATTGTTCCCACTGCGGGCAAAAATCTGGATGCAACTCCTGCTAATGCGCCAAATAAACCCATTTCTTATAGGGTAAAAATGACGAATCCAAACAAGGACCCCTATGTTTCTAAAGCGACAAAGAAAGCACTCATGATAAAAATCTTTAGTTCAACACCAAATGCTTGGTTTATGGATATCTTGGAAAACATTCCGAGAGTTAGAACAGATGGACCACCATACTGGCTAATATTTGTCGGTCAAAACACAAGATACTGTGAAGCCATACCATTACAGTCCAAAAATATTTTAGATATCTTAGCAGCTTTGACAATATTCGTTGACAAATACCATCCAACAAAACTGACATCTGACTGTGAAAGTTCTTTCAAATCAGATGATGTAAAAAACTATCTGCGTTCAAAAAATGTAAACCAATATTTCATTGTCGACCAAAACCATTCTGCTCTTGGTGTCATTGACGGTTGTATAAAAATGTTAAGAGACTTAAACCAACCACAAGGTGGTGAAGCAAATGAAATGTCATATGACGACAAATATAGACACTTCTCCATGGCAAAGATGAGACAAGTTTTAAATATTTACAATAGCCGTAAACAAAAAGGTTTGGGAAACCACTCCCCCGAAGAAATGAAAAACAACCCTGACTTAGAGAAAGACTATATATTTAATAATTTAGTCAAAAGAGACAAACAAGAAAGAATGCCGGGCTTCAAACTTAAGAAAGGCGACAAAGTAAAAATAGAAATACCTAAACGCGACCCATATGAAAATACTATTGACTATGACAACAATGGGAACCCGACAGGTACTCACATTCGTGTTCGTAAAAATAGAAGAAAGTATACAAGAGAATATTATGAAGTTTTAGGCAAACATGGCAAAATGTACACACTGCAAGCAGAAGATAAAACTACTATTGTCAGACCTCGTTTCAAACTTGTCAAAGTTCAAGGTGGTATACTTTCAAAGACAGTTCCTAACAAATATAAGACAACTCCTGACGAATATGCTAAAGAAGTTGAAAATGACGACTAAGCATTTCTATACCATGCGTAAACTGTCATGTAAGGTGGCATGTAGTCTTTACTTTGTCCCGTTGTTTGCGTATATCCTGAAACGCGATGTGTATGGTTTCCTCCTCCCTCAGTGTTACTCCAGTAACAATCTATAGCAAACTTAACGTTGTCTTTAACATCATATCCTTTACCTTTTGTCATTGCTGCCCAATCCCAATATCTATGCTTATGCCAACCTGCTTGAGATGTACTTAAATCTATGTAGTGACTATGTGCAGGTAAATTTTCACCTGAAATCGTTTTACTTCCCCCTGTTTCCTTTGAAGAGTTTGCACAATACAAAAACCTGTCGACTATTTGAGTCCAAGTTCCAAAACCCAGAACTGTTTCTGGTCTGGTAGAGTTCATTGACGTATAAATAGAGCCTATAGGATATAATGTTTGAAGTATTTCTGTCTTTAATGTTTGAAGCTCTGTTTTGTCAGCCTTCTTGTCATATAAATCTTGAGCAGTGAATTTAATATTATGTTCATCCTTCATGACATAAACATCTTTACATCTAATGTTTCTCATCGTCGTTATGTCGTCATCCGATGTTAAACCTTGTGGAAAGTTAGGAGGTTTACAATATATTGCATCCCCACCAGTTTCTTCAACCGTTCCTTCAATACTTTCTATAGCAACAGTTGTAAAACTTGTATGTGTATGGTTCTTGTCTGCTTTCTTCTCTAACTCATCGTTAACATAAGTTTTATCTGCTTTAAGGTCTAAACATCCTGAAACCCATCCTGTATCGGCTTTAACTTTAAAAGTCTTCGATGTCCATTCATGGTACCAGTCAACCCTTTCTATAATTTCTTTATCTTTTTCATCCACATATTCCTTATCTGCTTTCTTCACTAACACACTAGCCATAAGTCCCTTATCTACCTTATTTTCAAGGCTAACGTTTAAGTCTGTTATTTCAGATATAGAATGTGTATGAGTCTTTTTAGAATATTCGTTTTCAGCTCTTGTCACTTCACTTGACATTTTATTGTCAACATATGTTTTGTCTGCTAGTTCAGGATGAGTATGTTCTTTTGTTGCATAAGCATTGTTAGCTCTTTCTTCTTCTTTTGCTATTGCATCGTCTACATATTCTTTGTCAGCTTTGTTGTCAACATCTGCTTTCAAAAGAAGTTCATTTATAGGTTTCTCGTTTAAAGTTCCTTTTGTTGGATTTATACAGACAGTATGGTTCTTATTGTCTTGAAATAGAAACTCATCTGTCATTGGGTTTATTGTCAGTTTTAAGTTTCCTTCTTTCAATGACTCAGATATCTTAGAATAGTTTGAAAAGTTTGTTGTGTTCTTATTTAGAGCTTGCATAATGAGTTGTCGGTTGTGTTGTATTTCTCTCATGGAAGCAATATCTTTCGACATTTTTATTCTAGATAAAATATGCTTTCAATAGAAAAAGAAAATTCAAGAGTTGCTACAACTAAACCATTAGATGAACTTTTTACTAATGTCGGTCAAAAGTTTGAGACAGAGACCGTAAAGCATGAAGGCTATCGTTTTGACTACCCATTAAGATGGCTAAGAGACCCATCTGTCACAAAAGCTATTGGCTTTCGTAGAATGAAGTTCATTTCAGAAGCCATACATGGTTTCCCATTTACGGTCGGTTTTGAAGTTCGATACTATAACAAAGAAAAACGTATGTATGAGAAATTTGAACAGGGAAAACTTTTACAAGTTAGTTTGCTTGTAAACTTAGAAACAACTCTTCAAGCTTTTCAAGAAAAAATAAACGATATCTATATCGAATATGCAAAACAGTATAACATTGACGAAGGAGAATACCATCTCGATATTATTTATGACAGGAAAAATGCAACTGTTAAAATCAATAGAATAGAAGACCTTGGAGAAAACGTTTATATTTCTACAAAATATAACAACTTGGCATGGTATAGATTTATGAGGATGTTAAATCAGCCTGCAGCATATCCAGTACACCCAGACTTTTATGAAGTCGAAAACCCTAATGGAACATATGAAAATATTTTCGACCCAGATGCTATTATTGTTCATGCTTCATTTTCTGGTGCGCAAAACTCTTTCTTATGTCTGATGAATGATTTTTACGAAAAACCTACAAAGTTATACGAACCACCAAGTGGAAGTATTTCAGACTTTCAAGTATGGTTTACTACAGATGGAAGAAAAAGAATAATTCCATTATACCATGCGTTTTACTTAGAACTTAGTTTCATATACAACTACTATCGAACGGTAAAAATATAATTTTTTAATATACCGGTTGTGGTGTTGGATTTGGTTGCCAACTAGACTGTGGTGCAGGTTCAGGCTGTTGTATAACAGGAGCTTGTTCTTCTGGTTCAGGGTCTTTAGGTATAATACCAACAAACTGACCTACCCTTTTACCAATATTTTTGACACCGTTCCAAATTCCTCTTCCTACGGTTTTTATTCCATTCCATATACCTCTTCCAACATTTCGAAAGAAGTTTCCTATCTTACTGAAGAAACCCATTTTACTATATGTAAAAATCTAATGTCCGCCTAGTCTCTTACGTTTCCTGTTGAGTTCCATAGCATTCTTTAACTGGAGCTCATACATTCTGTTTCTCCTCTGGTAGAAAACATATTCTGGGTCAACTCCTGTGTTCGCGTCATCTGCATAAAGTTGTTTATATCCCACTTCAGGGTTTGTATAAAACTCTTTCCATCTCATATTTGCATACCATGGTGGCAAACCTAACGCAGCGTCATTTGACATGGCAGTTTGCATTTGTACATCTGTTGGCACTTGACCATAGTTTGCCATTGCAGTTTGTATTCTAACTTCATTTGGAATATTCTCTGGGTTTGGTTGTCCAGGTTGCTGTGCATTCGCTAAGTTCTGTGCGTCCATTTAATATTAGATAAAAATATCTCTTACGAGTACATATACTGAACATTTGCAGGCATTGGTTCATCTTCATATTCTCTGTACTTTTCTGCCACGTCAAATAAATAAATGACACAATGGAAAAAACCTAAAACAAGTAGTCCTATTTCAAACCACATTTACTTACTAATAAAATTTCTTTATTGTGACACTTTCTCCGGTTTATAGGACCTCTCTCATATTCTATCTTGTCATATCTAAACTCATAGTCATGTATGTCCTCTAACCATCTCATAACGGTTTCCAAACCACTTTTATCGGATGTAAAGTAAAAGCATGGATGGTTATGTATAACGTCTAAAGTTTCTAAAGAGTCTCTCAAAGTCCAGTCTACTTGGTATTGAAAATCCCATGTGTTATAGAACGGCGGGTCCACTATAAAGAAAACATTTTCCTTGTCTTTATATTTTTCATACAAATCTGTCCAATGACATCTCACAAACTCTATACCCTCAATATATTTTTCTATGTCCTCTTTGAAAACATTTGTATAGTTAAGATATAAAACTTTTGACATAAGTGTTTCAATGTCATGAACTCTTATAGAACCACTATATAATAGTCTAGCAGATATACTATCCCAGTCTATATATTCTGCTTTTTTCAAAACCTCTCTCACAATATTTTTCTTATCTAATGGTATACGTTCCATCTTACCTATAGGTATCTTTTCTTTTAACTCTTTCAATATATTGTTTGTGTCTGGAATATGTTTGAGACGGTCCATATAGTTGTCGAAGTCATTGCATATAATCTTTGAGTCTGGGAATATTGTATGACATAAATGGGATATATAGAAACTTCCACCGAACAAATCTACAAATGTTAGACCATTCGGTAGTTTCTTAAGTTCTCTCAATATAATATCTTTACATTTACTCTTATTTCCAAAGAACGGTAACGGTGGTTTTGTAAAATTCATTTATATATAATAATAAAAATGTTTTTTTCCTGAAAAGTGACAGAAAAGTGACAAAACATGAAAACATATATAATTTGTGAAAAGCGACACATTATATAATGTTTTCGACCCAGAAGAAGGCTTCTTCCCAGAAGCAATGGAGGAAGAAGAAGAGTCCTCCGAATTCACACCAGAAGACTAACAATTTTCCGAATAAAAACTTCATTTATACTAAACATCTTCGGGGCTAGAGGGCACGAAGTGCCTGGAAGCCCCACTACCTTTTTTTTTTTTTTTTTTTTTTTTAGTATATAATATTTATTACTAATTTATTTAATAATGTCGCGCTTTCTTACGAATTCATGACTTAAAAAACGTAAGAAAAAATTTTTATATCATCTATATATAGAAGATGTGAAAATATACCTTCATCTATATATAGACGTAACAAAAAAAGTCACTAAACCCTTCCGCATATACTACTTAAGTATTGAAATTATTTTTTTTTCTGAGCTATCGTTTTTCAACTAAGATCTAAACAACTATAAAAAAAATTATGTTGAGTTCGTTCTTACATACAAACTTACGCCACCAGGAGATTTTTGATGTTGGTGCATTCAGTGGTCTGAATATCACATTTGATTCACCAACACAATCGAAAGATACTACAATTTCAACAGTAATTTTCCTTCAACCTCTTTCAATTTCTATTGTTCGAGGAGAAGGCGGCAAACCAGAAACAAGAAGTAACCAAACTACTAATGTTAAGTTTAATTACCAAAAAACAAATGAAAAAGGAAGTATTATTATGAATCTTGGTACATCTCAATTTTTCTTTGTAAATATCAAACCAATTCCAAATATTGGCTTCTCAGCTCAAGCCAGTGTTAACAGAGGCTCAGTTTGTCCTTCAATTGGAACAAATCTTGTGGGCAAACACTTCTATTTCAGAAGTATGTTGACAATGGTCGGCCAGAAATTGATTTCTGTCACCGATAACAAGTTCAATTTCTTTGATGTCAACAGAATTTCAACAATTGATACATCAATCAACCTCGGACGTAATGATTTCAGTGCCGGCTTACAGATTGTCAGAAGGTTCCTCGGAGAAAACTCACGATGGGCTTATTCTGTATTAGTTCAGAAAGAATGGGATAATAATAACTCTGCATTTGATATTGCAGCAGTTGCTGATCCTCTTTTCAATTTATGTCTAAGATACCAACGCCAAGTTAATCCAAATTGGAAGTTTGGCATTACATTTGCTACATCTAAGTATATTGAGCCACGCCTTCAACTTACATGCAAGGCAAACCTCGGAAAATCAACAGTTCATTCTTCTATCCTCACAACAGGCGTGGTTGAATCAAAGTTTACAAGCAAAGTTTCAGATACTTTCACCATTACTGTTGCAAGCATCCTCGATCATCCAGCTAAGAACTACAAGCTTGGTCTAGGATTTTACTCCCAATAAGTTCATATATAGAGTATAAAATATTATATTTTTTTAAGTTTTTCTTCCGATTTTTTTTAAAAAAAAACAAATTTCTTGTGATTACTAATTTTAAAATTTTAGAAGCATCTTGTTGAGAAGTAAAGTACTCCCATAAAAAGTGAAACCCCTCTTCTTTTTTCCTAGGGTTACTGATCGCTTCCTTTCTGATCGTTATGCCAGAAATGAACGAATTGATTGGTACAGCCTAATTTATTACTCCAATTGGCAACTATTCTGTATAGTATACTTAACTGTATTGCCAGTTATTCTACAGAATTATGCAATTTAAAATCAACTTAGTTAATTTTAATTATATTGCAACAGAACTCCTACATAAAGATAGCGTCAAGATTGCACATGCCAATTCCCCAAATTAAAAATTGAAATTTTGCATCTCGAAAATGCAACGACAAAATTCCTCGTAATTTTGGGTTTTTTACGTCTATTATGATACATATTCAAATAACTTGAATATAGAAAAAGTTACTAAAATTTGAGGAAATTATTGCAATAAGAAAAAAAAAGTCGACTTTTATATATAAGTCACTTATGAATTACAATGACCTCTATAAGGAGTGCACAGTACCACGTATAATCGTTTGATATTTCTGAATTCAATTTTATACATTTTAACTAGAATATTCATTACTCAAATCTAGACGATAGTTACTACAGTTTTACGAATGCAGTACGCTTCCATTCATCTTTTTACTTGTTGTTGTTGAAATAAAATCATTATTATTTTACTATCTTAAAATAAGAATTTTGTTATGGTAATAATATTTTTGACGACAGTTATGACATTATATCAACTCTGAAATGAGTTTTTATCAAATATGATATCTTAATCAAAAATTAGATGTTTTTTTTATAAGTGAAAACGAGTACATTTGATGATTTAACCAATTATACAGTGATTTTATTTTCCAAATTTTTCTTGAAATTGATTTTTTCATGAGAAAAATCAAAAATTTGATTTTTATTTTTGAATTTTTGATTTTTTTTGGAATTTTGAGTTGATCAATTAAGCAGAATGAGTTATGTGAATGTTTTATATATCTCACAAGGTGGTAAATTAAAGGTAAATAGTTTATCCCCTTCTTATTTTTATTAGACCCTTGGAAATTTTTCTTTATGAGGCATGCACGGCCTCAAATTTTATTTCTAAGTTTCTTAGGACTGGGATCAATCATTAGCATTTTATCAATATGGCTCACAAGTGATTGGCTTTGCAAGTCAGGTTTGTATTTTTTGAACCGAAATCCACAATTATTATCATTTTTCACATGTTTCTGTTATTTCATAACAGGAACTTCGTTCTTATACATATATTTCACGAAAATATTCTGTTTCTTTTACATTGGGTGCATCTTTTCTATCATATCAGCGATTATCGATTTTTACACAGGGTTAGTTTGGATATTAAGTCCAGATGTATTCTTCTCACAATTGGAAAAGAAATGGGAGAAGAACATAAACTCTGCAATACTAACTCCACTTCAACATCGATTAAGATGCTGTGGATTTAAAATGGTACACGATTTTCCCGGCGATTTATGCTCAGAAACCGACAAAAGTCCATGTCTCAGAGTACTAATCTCAACTTATTCTTCGAGTTTACGATCATGCGGCGCTTTTAGCGTTATTAATGCAGGCATCCATATGTTCATGGTCGCATTACTCTATTTGTCCTGCAAACAGATTCTTAAAAAGAAAAAAGTTAAATTGCAAACGCAGAACATTCCAACGCGTACTGCTAACTCAATGCTATAGATTTTCTTACTTCTTTTTGTCTTGTTTATATTAAAATAAATATGTTATGTATGTTATAATAATTTCAATTTTTTTTTGAATAATACAAAAACGATAAATAGTAAAGTAAAAGAAAAAACTACGAAAAAAGGTAAAGAGGTGTATTATTTTTTTTAATAAAGAAAAGATTGTGTATAAAATGAACTAAATCTTAAAATCCAGTTCTGAATTCATAACTTCCAGCCTTAGAAATGTACTTAATTCCCTTGTAAAGCCTCTCAGCCTCAAGATCAAGGTGGTCAACTTTGAATCCCGATGGGATTGCGCCGGTGACGCTGAACTGGGCTGTTACGACTGGATGGCGACCGCAAAGCTCGAAGCCTTGCTCTGTAGAAGCACTACCTTTGAATGTAATCGTTTCTTTCTTACTGAAGAATGGAATATTCCATGTAACAACGTTTGTCTTCGAATCAAATGAAGCGCGGCCTTCAGGAGCAGCAAGAGATGGGGTATTGACACCTCTTGGGAACTCGAATTCGATAACAATATTTTCGATACCTTTTGAAAGGTTTTGATCAGGACGTAAAGCAATTTCGAATGTAACTGAGCCCTTAGACCATGTGAATTTAGGAACAAGCCAGATTGGTGCATTAATTTGTGCAGATGTTAAACGATATTTAAGTAAAACAAACTTGCCTTCTGGTGGAATGAAAGGAATGACTTTGGCATCTGGTGTGTCTACCATAGCGCAGCGGTGGAAGCAGACGTCTTCAAAGTGTGTTGAAGGCATCATCACGAGTTTAGCCATTGGCTTGCCAGAAAGGCGTGAGCTAACCTGTATTTCACCACGAATATGTGAAAAGTCAACGCGGCCATTCGAGGAAACAACTAAATCAATCGTTTCAACAAAATCAAGTAAGATTTCATTTGTAAGCCTTTTAACGCCCATTTGACGCCATGGAGTGTCGAGATCGAACTGGATCTTGTTGGATCCGCGGACCTTTGGATCTGGTGGTGGGCGGTTGATGACTGTTGAAATTGAATTTCCTTCGTCTAAGAATGGGAAACCGTAGTCGACTGCAAGATCAAGAATTTGATAAACTTGTGGGTATTCGTCTTTGACTGAAATTTCTGTTGCTCCCTTTGCAAGAAGGTCTTCAATGAGGCTGCCAATGTGTTGAAGCAATGAAATCGCAAATTGAGCAAAATCATCACCTTCACAAACTCCAACAACCCAAATCTCATTTTGCTTATGAAGTAAAATAGTGAAATCGCCATTTTCTATGATTGCTGGAACTTGACTTCCTTTTGTTTGAATTGCTAAGAGAGCTTGTTCGATCTCGGTCCTAGAAACTTTCTCCTTATACTGCTTTTCAATTAAAATGACGCCCTGATTGTTGACCAAAAAGACACTGCTGAGCATCGCTTGATTGTAAATTTCTATCGTTTTCATAGATCATCGGTTTGACATTGTTTTAAGGGTGCACCCGTATGTACGTTTATTTGAGAGGAGGAGGATTACCCTCTCAATTTTGAGGGATTCGTTAGTTTATTTTCTCGATGAATATGCAATAAAATTTGATTTTTACCTTATCAATATACTTCATATAATATACACATGTTCATGTAAAAACTTTTTTCCAAAATCCTCAGGAATTAAGGGATTTTTGAATTTTAAGAATTTTTTTCGAATTTTTTCGAAAAAAAATATTTTCAGAACAGCCTTAACGGCTAAGATTTAGGAACAATGTTAAGTTTCAAAAAGAAAGGAGGTCTGATATAGACAACATATATCGTTGAAGGTTGAAAAAATCTCTAATATTTGAGCCCAAAATTTCAAATTTTAATTTTTTGAAAAAAGAGGCCACCCGTATGTACGTTTATTTGAGAGGAGGAGGATTATATTTTTGAAAGGGTGAAACATTATGAATATGTTAATTATATAATAATATGTATTATTATAAAAAAGAAAAAACAAAGCACGTTAAAATTTTTCTTTCTTGATTTTTTACAAAATCTACTTAGAATTATGCAAAATATGACTAAATAATTATAAATTTCAAGTTAAATTTTAATTTTGATAAATAATTTAAATTTCAAAATATCAAGTTCAGTTCGACTATGTATGTAGTAATTCCTCAATAAAGTGCCAAAACCCTATTAAAATATATGAACATTTTCAACATTTTAATGTTTTTATTTAAAAATTTGATGGAATATGAGCTTCAAACAATTATTATGTAAATAAAAATAATTAAATATATGTATTTATTCGTATTACAACCGTAGTAAGTCGATTCTTCCTTTCTTCTACTGAGGTTTGAATTTGATTTCGAATTGTAAAGAGATTCAAAGGGAAAATACTAGCGGATAAAAACTACCTCCATGAAAGGGTCAGAATGGAGTCAAGTTGTATTTTTTGATATTTTTTGCTTTTCGAGCCTAAATAGGTAGCCAAGATAATGCCTAAAAATAAGGTTCTATATTCTGAAGTTTACATGATCCTCTCGTGTGCACCCTTAATATCGTCAGATAAAATAGCATGTTTTGATAGGCTACTGAATATGTACAACATTTAAAAAAAAAAAAAAAAAAAAAAAAAGGTAGTGGGGCCTCCAGGCACTTCGTGCCCTCTAGCCCTGAAGATGTTTAGTATAACTTTGTCCGGACAAGTAAGGGTCTATCGTCGCTACAGGAAAAGTTACGGGCGTTCCAAGGAAGTATACTTTGAGAAGCCTTTTCTCCATTTTAAAACAAGATAGGACGGTTATTTTACAAAACTGACAACACTTTGACCGAGTAGTTTTTTGAGCTGAACAAAAAGTGTCATATAAACATCTGTCAAAAACCGCTTTTTAACTTCACTTAAAATGCCACGTAAGCTACGTAAGAATATACGTAAGAGGAAGAGAGCATTGAAACATCCAATAGTAAAACTGACACCACAACAACAGTTGCAACAACAAATGATGAATGACCCCACTATGTTGCAACAAATGTCAAGCAACCCTATGCTTTTAAGCCGAGTTATTGGTGCACAGAGTGGAGGTTTAAGAGCGGCACTTTTAGCGAAAATGGCAGGCTATGGTGGAGCTGCAGACGGAACAGCTTATAACCCTCAAAGTCAAATGAATTTGAGTTCACTCAAAAATCAAATAACAGATGTCAAAAAGTCAAACATAGACATACAGAAACAAATAAGTGAAAACGAAAAGAAACTAGAATATGACAGACACACAAAGAAACTCAATGAGTTAAACGTAGAGAAAAAGAAGAAAGAAGAACAACTGAAAGAACTAAGTACAGAGGAATATGCGAAAAAAGTGTCAGAAAAAGCAGCAGAAGTAGCAAAAATGGAACAAGATGTTATAAATTTGAAAAACCATACTACTCAATATAAAGTACTGAAAGATGAAGAAATAAAACAAAAAGCCCTGAAGACATATATGGATAGCGATGAGTATAAAAAAGAAGTTGAAGCAAATGTAAAGGCAGAAAAACTTTTACAGTTGCAAAACCAAACCGTACAGTATGAAAACTTAGCACAAGAAAGTAAAAATAACGACGCAGCCATGCAAAAGGCAATGAAAAGCGCAGAATATATAAAAGCTAATAATGACTGGTTAGATGCCCAAGCCAACGCCAAAGCAGCCCAACTTATAGGGTCAATAAGGACAAAAATACAAGCGGATGAAGACAGTTCAAATGAAGCTTTAATGAATGCTGACTTTAAGAACGCCTTCGAAGCTCTTCATAGTAAGGTGAAACTAGTGAACGACTTCTCATCTGGAAAGAAACTGAAGTCTGAAGGTTTCGACAAAGAGTTAAGAGAAGTAGCACAAAATATGACGAAAATAACAGATGCAGCAACGAGACAGGCAGTTCAAAGTGCCTATGACGCCGTTAGAGCAACTGTTGTGGAAAGTCAAGAAAAAGAGTTACAACAGACCAAAACAGACCTAGTAAATGCTTTCTTAAAAACGAAAAGTCAGGTAGGACATTATGCTGCAGATGGAACATATGTGCCAGCTGGTGGAACTTATATACCAGCTGGTGGAACTTATATACTAGCTAGTGGAACTTATATACCACCAAACCCTCCAAGAGAAGCACCTGCACCAGGACTACCTAAAACATTTACATCGTCACATGGACACAGACACAGGCATGCACCAAAACCAACACAACAACCAACAGTTCAAAATCCAGCACAACAACCAACAGTTCAAAACACTGCACCACAACCAACAGTTCAAAACACTGCACCACAACCAACAGTTCAAAACACTGCACCACAACCAACAGTTCAAAACACTGCACCACAACAACCACAAACAGAGCAAGGACATAAAAGAAGTAGAGAACAAGGAAACCAAGAATTCTTAAAAATGCTTAAGGAAGACTATGGTTACCCAGATACTCTTGACTTTAGTGACAGATATAAAGAAGCTATTAAAAAGTTCAAGGAAGGAAATGCTGACCCGAACCTATTTAGCTTTATGGTTCAGCACCAAATCGGATATAATTTCAAACCTGGAAAATACAAGCTCGCTAAGGGATATGATTTAATAGCATATCATCCAAATGACATGGATGAATTTACTCCGAGATATTTGGTGTCAGAGCTAAATGATAATTCAACTCTCTTCATGAAACGCGTAAAAAATAGAGACGGAACGAAAGAAGAAAGGGTTATGAATGCGGATGACTTAAATAGGGAACTTGTTAAAAACGGTCTCGGAATATATGAAATGCCAGCAGATGAGGTACAAGAAACTCCACAGGAAGAAGTTCAGATACAACCAGACATGGAAGAAATAGTTCAGCAACAACAGCTAGAAGAGCCTGAAGGAAACAAACAAGTCCATCCTTTGGAAACTAACTTCACAGAACTAGATGAAGATTTGGAACAGCCGAAAAATCTTGACCCTCAACAAGAGTATGCGGAGAATATGGAATCTTTCCAAGAGTCTAAGAAAAATTCGGCTGACATAGTAGAAGAATATCGAAAAATGTTCGCCGACATACAAAAGACTCCAACATCAGATGAAAATATTCAGCATAGAATGGAAGAACTGAAAGAAAGTGTACGCAAATACAACAATCCTTTTTACTTACGACCATATAACGTTCAATCTTTGGCTGAACTCGGTGAAAATAAAAGGTTAAATTTCACCAAAACATATAGAAATGAAACATTGTTTAAAGTTCATTCAGAACCTAACCAATATGGAAACAAACCTACTTTTGTTTCTGCAGACTATGGAACTACAATGAGATGGGGTCATAAAGCTAATCCGGATAGGTGGTTCATAAACTTACAACCACAATTCCAAGAAGTTGTAGACGCAATGGAAGTGAATGGTGAACCAGATATAGCTGGTATTTTCAGCGCGGCTTTAATGCCATTGAAAGATATGAAAGATGCAGATATTTTGAACCAGTATGAAATGAACATGGCTGATGGAAATATAACACCTGACGTTCTAAAACATTTATCTCAAAGAACTACACAGAACCATAAAGATGGTATATTTGGTGAAGAGTTTAGAAAGAAAGTTAGGGAGAGAGAAGGAAGAGAACCTATTGTACATGACCTTGCAAACGAAAGTTTACAAAATGTCATAAAAACTTACTTTGCAGACAATGAACCGAGAAGGGATGAATATTTAAGAAAACTCAAATGGACAGTACCAAATGAAATGTTAGTATTGAAAAACATGTTCCTTGACAAAATAAAACCAACTACAGAAATAAATGACGCAAGACTGAAACATTGGGTAAAAGCTTTCCCATTCACAAAAGATTTGTTGGTAACATGGAAAGAAAACCAGAATGGCTACAAAAACATATATTTGGAAACGAGCTTATTCCATATGGACAAGCTCTGTTTGAAGAGCTTGAACCGGAAACTCAGGAAAGAGTCATGCAAACAATACGCGAAGACTCAAATACAAACTATGACAAAATCTTTCTAGGATATAGGTTACCTGAGATGGCGACCAGAGCCCAAAGGCAAAAAGGACATGGGAAATTTACAACATACTAGGTGAACATGAGGCAAAGATGCAACAACTTGAAGCAGAGGGCAAGTTACCAAAAGCGACACCAAAGAAGAAGAGTAGAACAAAGTGAAAATAGTGAAGAAGTAACTTCATCTAGTGAAAGTAGTGGCAATGAAGGAAAAAGAAGAGTTAAAAACTCAGTCAGGAAGAAAGTAAAGCTTGGTACGAGTGGGTTCTATTATGACAAATAAATTCAACTATTCTATATTTTTACCCATATGAAATGTACGCCGCTCAGAATATAACGCCAACAGTTTTGGATGCCATGAACGGAAATGTTTCCGAATGGTATAACGAATGCGACAATGCCATTAGAAGGTCAGAAATAGTTCCTGGAACTTACGAATATACAACTGCTGTTTCTTATGGAAACGTAGGTGAGTTTGGAGAAGGTTCTTCAACAACAGTAGATATTGCTTGCGACAGGTTTCATATTATTTCTATTGACAACTCATTCTTATACGTGGAACAAGACATTGAAATAAAACCTTCTGCCAAGTTGTCTGACAAGAAAGGTTGCAATGGAATTTTCTATGTCGGATACCAATATGCTCCAGAAGTTTTCATGGATATAAGATATATTCTAACTCTGACTTAGTTCAAACAGTAACATGGGCAAACTATGAATGGTTCGCTTTGAGAAACTCAGTACAACCACAAGCTAGAGAAAAACAGACCAGTATGCAAATATTGAGAAAATAAGAAGACTTGACCCTAACGTTCCAGGAGTTTATGTTAACCTTTCTGGTTCAGATGGAACTGCTGCCACTAAAGTAAAACTGAAACTTAGAGTTCCTTTGTCATCTTTCCTCATCTTCAGGTTTTTAAGATACTTGCCAAACTGGGCAGGAAAAATTTCTATCGAACTTACTCCAAGCAAAAATAACTTAGTCATTGCACCAACACAAGACCCATTCACTATTACAGGCGTAAAGGGAACAAATCAAACGTCATTCGCCGAATTTTGCAAAGACAAAGTTGACTTAGACTTTGGTTTTTCAAACTTCAACAATGAAGTAAACTATTATTTCAATGCTGCTGGAACTGCTTGGGACCCAGTTAAGTTCACATGCGAAAAGTTTGAATGCAAGAGAATAGAAAGCAGACTTGCAGTCTATATGTTGGACCCAGATATTCAAATGCTTTAGCTGCCAAATATATTGCAGTTCCACTTATGTTCCCTATACACCAAATATCTGTCAAAGACTTTGCAGGTGAAGTTGGAAACCAAAGTGCTGACCCAGGTGCAAGAACAGATATTGCTTTAACAACTGCAATGAAACATGCAGATACTATGTTTGTACTGTTCAGACGAACTATAAATGACTATTCTTGTTTCTACAACCCCGGTATTAAATATCATATAAACATAGATGGCAAATATTATCCAAGAGAAGAATATTCTACAGTTGAGGATATGAGGTCATACAACTTGACATTAGATGCTATGAACTTTAACAACAACTTCACAACAACCATTAACCCTGAAATGCAAAGTTCTATTATGCATATGTGAAAGTATGGACTCATACAGGAGGTCAAAAAACTCAATATACAAATGGAGACCGTTCAAACTTTTGGCTTGGCATTCCATTTGCTGACTCAGAAGACTTTATGGGTGGTATTTCAACTGTTGGTACTGTACAAATACAATATACTGGTGACAGAGACGGTCCAGATGAACTGAGAGCAAAGAAGTTTACAAAACCAATAGCACTTTCACGGAAGATGCTCTTTTGAAGATTCGTTCGATGAAACCTGCTGGGCTCCTCAGATTGCATAACGACAGCTTCCATCGAGCAGATTTTGGCAGCAGGTCAGTAAGTTGTTCTTGAACTGACTTCTCTCCGTCAAATATTGACAGTACGCCAGTTTTGACATAATATTGTAAGATAAACTTACCTTTAGAAATATCTGTAAGTTTTGAAGTTATATTTTTGTCTGCTTCAAGAACTTTCACCATTTCAGTTATACCAACTTTCTTTGCTTTATGAAAATATTTTGGTTCAGCAAAGACTGCTATTCTATAACATTTACCATTGTTTGTATAAAGAACTATTCTGTCAATGTATTTGTATTGTTTGTGTGTGTAAACTTTGTTCTGCTTCAATTCGAAGAGATACTCGAATACGTCCATCTTTTTATTCTAAGTAAAATGTCATTTCCGAAAAATAGAAGCGTAAGTGTTTCAAAAGGTTTAATGGCGGTGGCAGATGTGAAGTTAAATTCACCAACTCAAACAAACAGTCAAAGTGTTGTTGTCAATGTCAAAGACAGAGATGTTGAAGTGGGGAAACCATACGAAGACGAAGATGGTATAACAATTGTTCCTGTAAAAGAACCAACATATCCTGAAGTTAGCAGAGACTTAAGTTCTGTTGCAGATATTCGAAATGACTACCAACAACTTAAAGACAAACTTCAAACTCAGGAGAAGATTTGTCAAGCTTTAAGTATAATGTTAAACTTGGTCGAACACAACCCTGTAAAAGTGAACTCATATGTCATTGCACCTCATGAAGTTTTGAAAGAACTATTGAAACTTTTGACAGAGGCAGACGATATAAACATCAAAGAAATAGAACCCGACATTAGTTGCGTGGTGTTTCATATAATGTCATTGACAAGATATACGTTATGAAAGGAGGTGAAACGTTGAACTTAAAGTATAGTTTTCCAGACGTCATAAAAATATTTGACGACCACAACATTTCATTAAAATTTATTTGCTAAGTAAAATGTCAAAACTTCTTGAAAGATGTTTGAAGAAAAATAATATAGACTTTATTTCATGTAAAGGACTTTACACACTTTTGAACGATATGAAAGACCCTGTTTTGTTTGTTCGTGTAGACAAAGGAAAGTTCTATGTCTTTACAAAATATTTGAACTTCTTAGACAGAGAACTTCAAGAAACGCCATGTGAAGTTTAGATGAAGTTCTTCACCACTTTCAGAAAAACTTTTAAATATATATAATGGCAGAAGA